ATATAAAAGGGCATAATCGATCTTTACAGAGTGTCTAATTGATCTGTCAATTTTATACCAGAGGGGCCTACAGTATTGCATAGGAGTATTTAACAATAAGAAAAATTGGGAAAACAGTTTCCTTTGAAATTTACTTATGCGAGCATGTATGAAACCGGGTCTATGGCACCTGTAACTTGATACTACGTCTAGAAGTGTAGAGATACGGACCTATTAAAAACTGTTGAATTCTAAATGATTACAAGATGACCGAGCATATGAATGAATCAGTCTAAAATGATATTCAAAGATATTATACTGTACAGCTAACCGCTAATGTTTGTTTTGCATGTCTACTACACACCGTCACTCACAAGTGTATGTAAAAATTGGTCGTAAAATTTGATAACAAGTTGACCCTTAAAATCTATTGTAAATATTTATTTAAAACTGTACACCGATTTTGTTTCAAGTTGTTTGTTTTCAATATTATAGCTGTTTCTTTACGATGACAATGTTTTGAAATCGTACTGTATAACACTCTAAAATTCGTTTTATGGGCAAACAACAGAAGGCTCTAAATTTTTACAAGTTGACCAAGCGTGTTGCTGCATCATTATTTTTCAGTTACGATCAATATTCAGGCAGAGAGCAGCGGTTTAGTTACCGGTTGGTACATTTCTTACAAACATTCAGCCAAAGGCCAGTTAAAGTTTTTATCGATGTTTGCCATGATCCTTATGTGAGCTATCGCAAAGTCATGGTTTGCCGGAGTTGCGTTCAATTTAAATCTCTAAACTTCTGAAGCTGAAATATTCTATGAATGTAGGCTTGTATCGTAGGCTACAATTTAAAAACGGGTGACCAAATAATGAATTAGGTGCTACATTTTGATTTAATACTGTGTAAGTTAAAAACAGACATTCTGTCCGAGTGGGACTCATTCAAAAATTTGAGGGGGTTCGCTAGAAAACAGGGGGGTTCGCTAGAAAAGGGGGGTTCGCCCGAAACATAAAAACCCTCCCTGGCTACGGGCCTGAAATACTATATGAAATAATGTAATCATTAAAGTATACGATAATAATTGATATTTAAGTAGACCTATTTCTAGAGTACAGTTAAAATATGTAAATCTGTATTAAAATGATATAAATTTATATATATACATAGAAATATTATGCGTAAATATGTATTTAGTATAAAAAATTAAATTTAAACGAAAATATGGAAGAAGCATAGGAAGAAAGAAGAATAGTAAAGAAAATTGTTCAAAAAAATGGAGATATAAAGATAATTATCTTAAAATTTTATGTCTGCAAGTGCAATTTCCGGCCATGTAGAGGTGCCATAATCACAAATTTTCTTACCTCAGCCCCAACCATGGTGGGGCTGAGGTAGTATACATCTTCTATCTGTGAAAGTACGCTCCCTGGGCCCTTCTATTTCGAATTCCTGGATCCGCCACTGGAAATTACAACAAATATGAAGTCATATTAAGTAGCTTGATGCCTATAAAATCATTTACAAAATTCACTAAACTTCGTAAAATATTCGTAGACCCCCACCGGGGGCCCTTGGCGGCCCCCTGGCTCCCAGTCTAAATGCTCGCTTCGCTCGCATATTGGACCTCATGAAATGCACACCCTCCCCCACTTTCAAAAACGTTCCGCCGCCGTTGTGTGGTATTAGAATTCGTCTTTAATATTACAATTAAGTGATAAGACAATAATGCCAGGGTGAACATACTGGACGTATGTTATTTGTAGTAAATTATCTAATGAATTATAACCTGGGATATACAAGTTGATGATATATCACATACAAAACCTGTGCATGTCATATGAAATACTGTAAGATTAGTTATTCCCATGTTTTAACCCATCTGTAACAAATTGCTTCCAATAGCTTGTCTATACAACTATCTACGTAACACCTCTCAATTTATTACAACCCAAATACTCGAGAAATAATCAGGGGAACCAAGATTCCTAGATGGCGAGAAACAAGTTTCCCTATTTTGAGCTACGTGTGTATTAAATGACTTAAGGACTTTAAAATCCTCCAAAATTCAAGGTTTTCCAACTCCTAAAAATGGTCAGGTAAACTTTCTCATTCTTATTATGTACAGTAAATAGGCCTGTTATGTGTGTATACATACAAAAGAAAAATGAGTAGTTGCATATCATGTTCTTTTTCCCATGAATCGATAAACGGCCTAAAGAGAAGGTGGGTTCAGGGGTTCCCCCCCGGGAAAATTTTGATTCCTAGATGGCAGGAAATGAGCTTTTGCGACTTCTGAGGTGTCTTTATGACTTTTAAGTTCTTTAAAATTCAAGGTTTTCCCCTCTTGAAAACGATTCCATGAATCAATGAATTCCAAAGAGAAAGGGGGATTCGGATTATTCCCGGAAAAATGTTGATTTAAATGGCAGGAAATGAGCATTCCCGACTTCTGAAGTCTTTTAATGACTTTTAAGTTGTTCAAAATTCAATGTTTTCCAACTCTTGGTTGATCCTATATCTGTCACATTTCCACACAACTCATTATAGACCGGTTTAACAGTGTCTATTAGGATTCTTCAAATCAATGACCAACTGTGATAGTTAATAAAACTTGGATGAGTTCTGTGGATGAACCGATATTTTAAATTTTAACTGCAGATTCGGACCAATGTTGGGCAGGAGAATTCACACAGATCATCAATTGAATCTTTAGAGTTGCAATGCAACAATGTAGATTCCTACAGTAGTGGCAGATGACAGATTTACTATTAGAATTAGAGGAAGAATCTGATGGTGGAATGGGCTATGATGTTTATGAATTAAAAGACATGGCATAAAATTGAAAAACTAGAAGGAGGACATAACTAAGACATAGGTATCGAAGTGGAGTTTCCAACAAGATATGGACAAAATAAGAGAAATTTGGGAAGATATGTATGTATATTATAAAATATACAGTATGTTATCAGAATATAGAAAGATATTTCAAGTCAAGAAAGAAAACCATTGTACAATGCTTCATAATAAAGTAAAATTAGATGGCTTAATGCAAAATGAAAGAAATCTGCGAAGATATGTTGATCAAATCTTAAGTACCTAAACTAATGTTTAGTCTCAGTCTATATAGTGATTGTTACCATAGTGAGGACACTGTATTTTTCTACACCACTGTTTCATAATTTGTTTAATCATAAATGTATGTAGAATTATTTTGAGATGTATTATAGGCCTAACTGAAATTTATCCCATGATATTAATATTATTACATTTTACTTTTTCATCATACATTAAAATGTGCATAGAATGGTTGTTATGGTAATGACGTTTTGTTCTACCCATCACTGCATAAATTTCCAAACTGATTTTATATGGAAATTAAAAACCATACTGTGATGCAATATATGAAATTATATTTGAATTTTTTTATTCATTAATGTTCTCATATGATATTTAAATTTTATATATTTTAGTGGTGATGATTCACTGTTGGTCTGATGAAATGAAATAAATATGAATAAACATTTAATAAACATTTTTCATTAAGTTTGCTAGCAATGGTTGCTATGGTGATTACCTATTTTTAACACCATTATGTACAACTTTTTTTCAACAAAGACCGTGTGTTATATAAAAAAAAGTATAAAGCTAAATAAAGAGCAATTCTAGTGATTTTTAATCATTGTTATGGCGATAACAATCCATATTTTATTCACATTAAGATGTTATCATTATTCATTATTCATTTATGTTATCTTACAATATTAAATATTTACTAAACATCTCTCACAAAACCTTTAATTATATCAATAAATTTCAGGCTTTCATTTTAACAATTTACAAAAAAAACAGGATATTTTAATTAGCAACAGTTGCATGGTGATGACCTTGCTTTCATACTAAATTGTGTTATCTTAGGATATTCAATAAACATTTTTTCATAAATCCTATACTAATTTATTACTAAACTTTTCATCTTCATTATATACTTATTTTATGAAAAAATAGGAAATTTAAATTTGCATAGCAACAGTTGCTATGGTGATAACCTTGTAATTTATACATCAATGTGTTAACTTTACTCAATAAGAGATGTAATTATATAAATATATTGTATCTCATGATTTTTGCTTGGTCAATGACAAATGTACAGCAATTCTGCTGATTTTGCTCATTTGCTATGGATGATAAAGAGTGTTGCTATGCAATTATATCAAAGTTTCAGCACTGTTTTTACATAATCCTATTCTATGATAATAATAGATAATTCAGATGTTAAACATATTCATAAAACCTATGAAAATAAAGATTTTAATAAACTTTAAGCTTTCTGTATACTTAAATTTCATAAATAAAATAGGAAATTTAAATTTGCATAGCAACAGTTGCTATGGTGATGAAATTGTAGTTTTTCTTAATGCAAGATTCATTTTCGATGATTAACGAATATTTTAAGTAAGTTTCACCAATCATTGATGATTATTATTCGAGTAATGTTATTTTATATATAATTTAGCTGGAACTATAATTTAAAGTGGAAAAATGGCGGCCATTTTGAATGCGTAATTTGGAGGTGTTCCCCCAAAGGGATTTCGGGTAATTTTGAGTTCTGAACTTCTCAAGACCTATATTTTCAGAAAATATCAAAATTAGCCGGTAGTACTTCCATTGCCACCTCGACAATTTTTAGAGGACTTTTTGGCCATAATCTGCTCGCCTATATCCATGATACTGAGTATACACACAATAACATTTTTTATTTACTAATATTAATGATGTTCAACCACAGAACTTTGTATTATGCAATAATTTTAAGACCCACTGGCGGCGCCAGTAGGGTCTTAAAATTTTCATGGATCTTCGCAAAGCATGGAATGTGCCAATGCACTAACCCATATCTCTCCCCAAGAACCCACACTGGCCAAGGCTCTATGCGACCTCTGGGCTCGGAACGCCCCTCCCTAAAATTTCAGGAGCATCCAGTGGTAATAATTAATATTATTAAATATTCAAAAACGAGTTTAACTAACTTGAATGTCTTGAAGCTCTTGTTCTAGTTTCTGGCACTTTCTTTCTAATTCCTGATGATGAAAATTCGACCTACTGCTCTCCTCATTAGATCCTTAAAAAAGAATGCCAAAGAAAGATTTTACAACGGCTAATAATATATACCTGCACAAAAGAAGAGAATTCATGTACGTGAATAACCTTGAATAAACGCAGCAGCTCACGGCGCTTAGCTAGAAAAAACATGTTTGGGGTGGCGCTTATTTGAGAGCAGTGCTTATTCAAGAATGGGGCCTATTCAAGGATTTACTGTATGGTCAGAAATTTAATAAGCAAGTAATGATAAGTTGAGGGGTAATTTTGCAAAAAATTAAAAACAATAAAAAAAATCATAATTATAAAGATGAAAACATGTTTACCTTTATATTTTTGTAAAAGATGTACTTTTTCTTCTAAAACACATATTTTCTTATCCTGTAACAGAATATAATTCATCAATATTATTTTTTATTTTTTTATTTAAAAAGATATTTTTTCATTTCAGCATTTAGCACCCTAGAGTAAAAAACGACAGGCTTTGGAGAAATTTGGAGAATTAAAGGGGAATATTATAGTTAAATACAGATTTATAAAAAAGGTATTAATACCCCATATTCCTCCTGTTTTTAATTTCAATTTATATTCTATTACTAATAGCCATTTGCAATTATCAAACACCCTTTCAATGTCCTAGAACACAGGTGGGCAGAGTGCGGCCCGCGAAAATGAATTAAAAACCCTATTTGTGCGGCCCACCAAACATCTTTGGCTAGAAAACACCTTGTTTTTGTACGGCCGGACACCGACCATCTCTAAAAAGAAGTATCTAAGCTGAGAATAAAGTGGTGTAAAAGCAGTGCATGAAGGTTTTTGGAAGCACACTGGAATTCATCAAAGTTTGGGTGCAGCCCTCACTGTTAAGTCAAAAATTCACTTGAGCCCTCCGACTGATTTTTATGCCCACCCCTGTCTTAGAATATCTATTTGTACAGCATATCGTATAATTTTTTCTGCAGAGCCTGACTTTAAAGGCACTAAAAAGTGAATAGGAAACATATTTTATAAATTAATCAGTGGCGGATCAAGAAATTCAAAAAGACAGTGAGAGACTTTCACAGATTGAGGTTCTAGACCACCTCAGTCTCACCATGGCAGGGGCTGAAGTAAGAAATTTTATGATTAGGGCACTTCTAGATGGCTGGAAGAAAATGGCACTCTCAGACCTCAAATTGAAATATATATAATAGTAATTTTCTTTCTCTATTTTGTTTATAGTTTTAAAAAATTAGGTTGGGGGGGGGGGGCTTGGGTCAGCTAAACTCCTTGAATCCGCCTATGTTAATGAATAACATTTGGTGCGAGATATACATACATACATGTCCCAAAAATTTATTTAATCTTTTAAGACAATAAATTTCTCTTTCCCATGTCGAATTGGATAGTACAAATATTGAAAGGGAAAATAATTAGATATTATCAAACCATTATAACTGCTGCACACTCTAATACAGACCCTACACACGGAACTGAAACATGTGTATTGCCAAATATTATATTGCAACATAGCAGCCACTCTACATAGGGAGAAACAACTCTCTGATCTAATCTCAGTTTTGATCACTTTTCTGTACATGTGATTCAGAACAGATGAACAAAATTACCAACAAAAAAAACCACTTCCTTATCATTATGAAAAGATGCACTATTTGCCTTTAGGCGAATGGAAGATACTGTATATTGCAATACTATGATATTCCTTTTACAACTGGGTGCCTAGTTGCAGAGCCGTATGCCCTGTCTCTTATACACATCTTATATGGCCTGAAAAAAAAAATATTACAAAAAATAACAAATTGTATACACAGTACATTTTATAATGCCTTTTACGATTTGGGTTTAATAGAGGTAGGGGTACGCAGCCATCGCACCACAGTGGAGTTGGAGGTGAATGCTACACACTGAGTTGCAGGTGAATGCTACTGTATATGCCTGATTGAATGCTCTCCATGATGCAGCAGAGATTTTTACCACGAAAAAGAAATTAGTTTTCAACTAAAAGAACCCTATTTAAAATAAAAAAATAATTTTTTAGGCATGGTTTTTTAATACACTGTCTATCTACTATTACTTTAGAGTGATCTTCAAAGGTTGCAAAAATTTTTTTTTTCTCATTTTAGCAAAATAATTCTGCCAAATGCATTTATAAAAATGAAAATGTGTTATAAGTATGTGAAGTAAATTAAGTAATAGAGGGCTCCCTTAGGTAATTCTTGGAGATCATATTGCACATTTGTACTAAACTAAGAATGTGATGTTGTGTTGTAACATCGCATTTGACAGATGATAATTTATCTAAATTGTTAGGAAGAAATACAGAATTCTTTTTAGATTGTTTTGCAGCGGCAGGCAAAATAAAAATGTAAAATTAATTTCTTTATGAAATTAAAATTTATATTAGCAGGAGCATGTAATCCAAGGCTAAATAAACCAGTTAGTTTCATGTCCAGAATTTGAAATTTTTTTGTAAGGGTACTAATTGTTATCCTACTGTATATATCCTATAGTGGTATTAAAACATACTGATAAATAACAAATTAAAACAAAAAATAGATAAATAAAAAATAAAATGCATTTTTGTATTGTATTCTGCCATATATGTTTCCATCTCTTCTACCGAGAAAGCTAAACTAATTCTAAGATGGTTTAAAAAGCCACAATTGAAGCTTTAAATAAGTTTGATCATATTAACCATGAATTTTAGCCTTGTTGTGACCATCTTACCAACCAAAATAGATTGGTAAGCTCTAAGAAAAAAGAATGCTGACAAACCAATTCAGTGCTTGGCAACTGAAACCATTGCTTTTATAAACATAGATGTTACGAAACCTGGCACAAAGTACAAAGGGGAATTCCCTGTATATCGTAATCCTGTGTTAATTTAATAGCTAAAGTTTACCTACACAAATGATTGACAAACTACTGTATAACAAAAAACAAAGAATAACAACTTGTATTTTACCTTATCTACAATCTCTTTAGTGTAATATTTAACCTGTATCTCCAATTGAGATATCCTGCTCATCATACCACTCATAAGATCCATATCCATTGGTGCTATTGTAAACAGATAAGAATGAGGTTATAATACAGTAATGTCATATAAATCTAATACTGTATGTGACCAGCTCTTGCAAAAAACCAGCTGTTCTTTGCACAAGCACCCAACATGTTCGAGAATCAGAATTTTTAAACATTTTCAAAACTTTGCATTTTATAAAAGAAGATATTTTGAAGAATATTTTTTCAAAACATCAACACAAATCTGAATAAACAAACTATTAGACTAGAAAAAAAATCTGAAAAAAAATGAGTTAGGGGGAGTGGAATGTTAGAAGCAATCCACATAGCCAGATATCCTAATTATTTCCTTCTGGTCACCCTAAGCCCTGTTGACACTTGATTTTACTCCTTGTATACAAATGGCGGCCGTTTTTCAAAATGGCTGCCAAATTTGTCTAAAATGTGCATAAAATTTAAACTAAATAAGCTAAAGATATGATTTTGCTGTCTAAACTCATAATTTCTAGACAGGCAACAAACTAGACATATAAAAACTACTGTCACTCAAGCCAGAATGGAACATAATTAAAAAATAGGTGTTTA